TGTCTCTGTGTCGACTATCGGAGGCTGAACGCGGACAAGCGAAAAGATGGATGACAGCATGGACGCTTTCGCCGGGTCACGTTTGTTCACTACGCTGGATCCAGCTTGGGGTTGCCGGCAGATCGAACTGTACCCAGAAGATGGATGCAAGTTAGCTCTCATAGTCCCATCTGGCCTATAGGAACTCCAGACTATGCCTTTCGGGCTAACAAACGCACAGGCCACCTTACAGCGCTTGATGCATACTGCGCTATCTGAGCTCAAACAACAGTACTGTCTCCTCTACATGGACGATATTGCCGTACACGGTAGAACGGAAGAGGATATAACAAAAGCCTCACTCGCTTTGGATCAGCATGTGCAACTGCGCTTAAAAATGAAACCTTCCAAGTACCAGTTCTTGAAAAAGCTAATGGCCTACATAGGTCATACTGCATTTAAGGAGTACGCTGCCATCCAGCGAAAGTCCAGCGTGTCCGCCTGTGACTTGCCATAGAAAACACCGACGAAGTGCGCCGTTTCTTCGGTCTCGCCTCATACTACTGGCGATTCGTCCGCGGCTTTGCGACCGTTACCGCGCCAATGAAAAGGCTTTTGATAGCAGTCAATATCTTTAATTGGAGAGCCATTTAGAAAAAAGCGTTTGAAAATCTGTGAACCGCTATATGCCAAGCCCCACTGTTAAAATCCCGGGCACAATGCCATTTTCATTCTAGACACAGATCTCAGCGATAATGTTATCAGTACAGTGTTGTCGTAACGCACACCAGAGGGAACGGAACGGGTCATCGCATACGCCAGCAGAAGTCGCTCACGACGAGATCGAAGTTAATGCACTATCCGGGGAAAATGCTAGCTCTCGTGTATTCTATCAGACCGTTCTGCCACTCTGTTAGATTGCAGGTTCATCCTACGAACCGATCACCAGTCTTGAAATAGGGTTACAGAACTCTCGTGCTCCTGAAGGCGCGCTGAAAAGAGCAGCGACATGAGTAAGATGTTGAATACCATCACTACCCTGGCATAAAGCATGTAAATACTGACGTGTTCTCGGGTAAACCTATGAGAAAGTATGAACCTTGTCTGTCATGCACGGCGGAACGGATATCGGCCGTCATTCTCGATGACCAAGGGACCGAAGAGCGGACAGGAATGTAGTCATTCAACTTTAAATTCAGCCTGTTAAGCAGTCACATCCCACAAGACAAGGACAAACCCACACACCAACAGCTTGCCGGTGAAAGCCGAGAAACAAAATGCCTTTCGTCATTCTGGCCTCCTTTACGCGTATTGAAGGTATCATATACTACCAAGACTGGCCAGCCTATCTTGGAAAATAGTCGTTCGCACGACAGCAACTCAAGATGTAATGCGAAGAAGAATTGGGGAAGACTGGACAAAATAAGATAGAAAAGATAATACGTGGGTGGTTTTGGTGGCCACAGTCGAGATAAGATATCGTGATCTACTGTCAGTCATGTGCCAATGGTGTACGGATGAAAAACCTGACAGCGACACGCCGAGGGCTCCTATAGCCAATGACGGCCGAGTTAATGATCGAGCTAGTAGGCATCGACATCATTGGCCCCCCAACTGGAGACCGCCAGAGGAAGTCGTTACACTGTACTTATGGTGGACTACATCGCCAAGTAGTGTGAAGTAATTCCTCTGCAAAATATAGGCGCACGGAGCGTAGCACAAGCTATTTCGGCGCCCGAGTGGCAAGTTGTGGTTTATCGAAGCAACACGCTCATGAGTGGGTTGCGCCATATATCCGGCATCCGAAAGACGCAAGCGACCACGTACTATCCAGAAAGGAAAGAAATGGTTGAAGGCACAAATAGCACATTGAAAGCGTTTCTGAAGTCATTTCTGAACAGTGACATACCCAAGGAGTGGGATATTTCCTTACTTCGGTGTTTGCTGGTTTATCGACTGACCAAACACCGCAGCCCATGGTGACAGGGCGAGAAGTTCGCTTGCCTTCGGACACTTCGAATGCAGTGCAGTGCGCTACGCGCACACCAACGGGCACAGGCGCACTTGCAGACATCACAGCGTCATCGGAAGGCGTATTTCGACCGCGAGACCTTCGGGAGTCCCTACAAGCCGGGTGACACCGCTTGCCTCAATGTATTGGTAATACCAGCAGGCGTCCCTGCCAAATTCCATTGAAAATGGGAAGGCCGAAACCGGCCAAGGGTGTCAGTAGCGCTGAGGACACTGCCCGCTAAGAGGGTTTCTAAACGTTCGTGCAACGCATTATCCGAATGACGTATAAGAATCCTCCGTCATCGGACTATTAACGCTGATCAGTTAGATGGATCAACGATGACGCCAAGTATGGGTAAACGTTGACAGGTCATGGTTTATCAGTTTACTTCCCGGATCTATCTCCGGCATCCTGAGCTTGGCTCTCTAGCTCGTTGTCTCTCGCTACCTGTTTGCCAGACAGCGATTTACACATCTTCATATTAACCCCGATCTCTTACTAAGTGATTGTGATAACTTCATATAACCGCATAAGGAGTGTTTGTTTTGCGATCAAACCCTACGGATCTATTACGACGTTTATTACGTACTGAACGCGATGAAACTCGGACTCCTCGACCGGACGCAAATTACAAACAATATCTGATGAGGACTACAAGGCATACAAGGTACAGCGAAATCTCTGCAACAACACGAAAAAAGAGCGCAGAAGCTTCCAAGACCGGCCTGCAACCACCGCAAAAACTGCTCTCCCAAGAAGATTTTCGCCTACGTGAATCGGCGCCTGAGGCCTGTAGGTAATATGGCAGTGTTGGAAGGCTAAGATAGACAGCTCCTAACCTGAAGCACATATGGTGCGTCTGCATTGGCGGCGCACTTTGCCTCGGTATTTGAAAGTGACCAGGTGTCTGTACCGAGTTCAACGATTACCCCTCCCAATGAACTAGACAGCTTGGATTGCAGCATTGAAGATGTACGCAAGCTTCTGGCAAAACTTGACGGGACGAAGCCTGCCGGACTAGATGGAATCCACCCACTGATCCTCAAGTCCCTATCGGCCATCATCTCGCCTTCTGTAACGGAGCTGTTCAACAGGTCACTATCCACTGGACTATTACCTGGCGACTTGAAATCCTCAATCACAAAGCCAGTCTCGAAAGGTGGTAACCCAAGCAAAGTGGATAACTACCGGCCGATCCGCCTGACCGCAGTTCTAGCAAAGACGCTAGAGAAAATGGTGAAGAAGAGCCTTCTGCAGCTTCTTGAGTCGAAAAGCCTCTTGACGCCCGCATAGCATGGTTTCTTGAAAGGTCGCTCATGCATCACCAACCTACAGTTGACGAGACACAAATGGTTACGAGCGCTGAACTAAGGCAAGTCGGTCGACGTCATTCCCATTGACTTCAGTAAGGCTTTTGACAAGGTAAATCATGCAGTGCTCCTCGACAGACTGACGGTGTGCGGTGTTGGTGGCTCACTTCATCAATGGATCAAGAATTTCCTTGGTGATCGAAAGTAGAGGGTCCAGGTGGACAACCATTTGACCGACTGCTAGCCATCGAGCAGCGGCGTGCCCCAAGGCACTGTACTGGAGCCGATTTTGTTTCTCATCCATGTAAACGACGTGCCTCAGCTACTCCAATCACCTTGTGCGCTTTTCGCAGATGACTTAAAGGTATGGATAGTAATACGCAGACCCAATAATCGTGACCTGCTTCAGCAGGACCTCGACCGCTTCTCCACATGGCATGCAGAGGTCAACCTTCCGATCAACCCGGTCAAGTCGCAATACATGAGGCTGGGTAAGTGTGAGCACAGTCGAACGTACACGGTGGCTAGTCAACCGTTGCATTCCGCGCCTCTCGTGCGAGACCTCGGTGTACTCTCACACTGCGACATAAAGTCCATGAACAACACGAATGGAACTTCGTATGCTTTGGACGCTCAGGCGCAGCTTCAACACTTGGTCCGAAGAGATTGCCACTAGCCTCTTCGTCCCTATAATACGACCAATGCTAGAGTATGACTCTCCCACGTATTGTCTTATCACCCGGGGCGAGGTAGAAAAGATTGAGCGAGTGCAGCATGTAGCCACCAGGCTGATTCCCAACTAACGAGGTGTACCGTACGAAGACCGGTGTAAGAAACTAGGGCTGTACACCCTAGCTTATTGTCGACTAAGGGATGATCTCATCATGACGCACCGGATATTACATCTGGGAGATTATCCCATGTTGAGGCCGCTGCTTCATCTACGCACACCAAGCAGCACATGAGGACACCGGTACAAGCTTGTCGTACCGGATTTGAAGCGGGTCGCTCACCAACTCTGTTTCGAACGCAGAGTGGTGAATGTATGGAACGGCCTGACGAAGCATGTAGTTGAAGCAAAGTCGGTGTCGGAGTTTAAGAAGTTCCTGGACAGACACTTTGCCGACGCAAAACATATTGAGCGCAACACAACATAATGGGTCTTTGTCCCTGAGTGACATCAGATGCAGCTACACAGAGCAACCTAAACATGCTGCTTCCAATCAGTAACCAGTAATCAGTACTCACCTTTCACATATCACGTCTTTGTATTGCAGCACGATAGCTGAGGTGTTTTAGACTTTCAGCTAAAGTGTAATTTAATGCAACGCAATTTGCAATATGTATCAAATTATATAGGAAATAGTAATGGTATTTCTGTTTCCCGGTAGCCAGCTTAAAATGGAAATCGTGTTCCCAAAAAAGATTACTCGATTAGCTTGAGTACCTGAGCTGAAAAGCAAGCAGGGATAAAATGAAACGCAGAGAAAAAGATAACGGCAAGTGAAGAGAGCAAAGAAAGACCTGGGCAACTGTCCATAAGGTGAAGATGCATCAATCAGATATCTTATAGGGAGTTATGCTTAGCAAGGGTGGACGATTTAGCTGAAAAAATAGTTTAATTAAACCAAAGCTAACACGATAAAAAGCATGAATTCAAATAATACAAAACAAGAAAGATCAACGAAAAAACTTACATCAAAATGCTTGAAACGAGACTCGGCCGACTTTGTGCGTAGATCCCACAAAACCAGAACCCCAGTCGAATAACCAATCAGCAACTTGTTCGAATCTTGTGGATTCTCGGCAATATGGATAATGCGACCAGGATGGGCCGAAGCGGAACTAATAATTATGCGAGAAATAGTAAGTTTTCATTGGCTGTGGATATATAAGGGCATCGCAAAACTGGCAAATGCAGATTATCAGGCAACGTAAAAGTAAGAGCGGTAGGCACCAACGGCCGGTTGATTTCACAGGGAATATTGGGTACTTAAATTTATCGAGCAAAGCGATGTAGTCCAACTACAGTGAAGAATCACGGTATAAGCAACATCAATCTAAGCATGAGGCACATAAACATAAATGGTTGACGGCATCCGGCCTCCTTAGCACAGCCAAAGGACGTCTGCGCCTACAGAGGGGCCATGGGGGGCTTGCGCTGCATCACCCACAGCTCCATCCCCACATCCCATATTCAGTGTAAACCCGAAGGAATAAGACCGGGAGGCATGTGGAAGGAAGCCAGGTTTCATGAACGGAACCGGTCCACATTCCTTCAACATGCAAAAGCAGTAACATCCCTGTCCATCTAATTGGAAAATCAGGCGTAACAGATGTACACAAGGCGATGGCTGCGCCGTAGCCCTCTCCAAACTGGAAGGACTGACACTTTGAGCCTAGCGGGGTCACGACGACCATGCACCCTGTGCCTCCAAGCAACGACCAACTGTGTTCTGGAGTCAGTATAGACGAAGTGGTGGGTAATGGATAGGTAGGCGCCTTGTGAATATTCACCTCAAACGAAGCCACATCAGGGACTTCAAACAGCAATCAAATGACAAGTGGACAGTGAATGTGTGGTAGGATGACAAAACAGAGCACAACGAAAAATGTGTACTAAATCTCATCCAGTGTAAAGGCGACCACGGCAAGTGTAAGCGTGTCAGGGGATATCAGCCACTTAGCAACGCATGCAAAAATAGAAACGCCTAAAATAAATAGGGAATATGCGGATGATTAACATAGATGGATCAGTCGGTGTATTACGGAACAAGCGTAAGTGTAAGTCGCTCTAGCCCAAGTGCGATGAAGAAGCACAAGAAATGCGACTTCAACAGCACAATACATGTATTGTGATGATACATACCGTAGAGTACTCACATGTCTATTGCTTTGTTCCAATTTATTACATAACCAGAAGCATTGAAATTCTGTACACTGATGAAATGCACGTTGCCTTTGTCGGTGCCCAGATACAGCCAGCCGCTTCCGACCGGGATATGGCCACAGGTGAGACTAAATGGAAAGGAAAAGATGGAGTTGGCAGTAGAGAAATAGGTCGGTTTTGGAATGGAACAATAATTACGAATGAGACGTTGGATTGACGCACTGTAGACAAACTATCAAAGAGTGCATATCCTCCGGTCGAACGCGATCCGAGATGAGCCCATCAAAACAAACACTGTGCCATCCACTGACTCGGACACGGAAAAAGTTGTTATAACCGCTTTAGGTTTTGAAAAAAATTTTCGTAACATTTCAACGGCGTTTCCACTTTTATTTTGATCACACTTGTCAGAACCAAGCAGTCAAACAAGCGTCACGTAAATTTAAAGGACAAATATGATAGTAGGGATAAGGTTAAGTAAGCGAATAGGGAAATCAACATCACTACATGGAGAGAAGGCGGCAAACTAGCACACTAAACTAACAGAGAATTGACAAGTGTAGCTGAGCACGATCGTAGATGTCCATGTCAAAATGATCTAAACACATCAATAGTTCACGTAAAATCAGCATCCCAAGCAAGGATAATGTAGCGAAATGTGCAAAGGTAGAGAGATAAAAACGGAAAAAAGTGCCGCGAAATAGGTCCACACAATTCTGTGATGCAACAATTACAATCCAAGCTGAGTGGAGCCTGAAAAGGAGATGAACATGGGTAGCCACACTGACACTGACAACAGTTCGAGAAAAGTAAAAAGGAAGCAGAAATACGAGATAAAATAGTACCAGGTCTGCAACGAGAGCATAATAAACCGATATATCGATTGCGCACATGTACATGTTATTGTCCAGATGCAGATCTAAAATGCACTTCATCAATACGTGAACGGGAGCATATGCTGAGAAAAAAGGGAAAACGTCTAGTCAATATTTGCACAGGGAACAGAAATAGGACTAGTTGCACTTCAAGAATTAATGATCCCCAACCAGATGACTGAAAGACTACAGCAATGAGAACAGCTGTATAGCCAAACTGGTCGCCTGATAGATCCATCAACAGTACGAAAATACTCAAAGTACTGTGTCCAAATAATTCATAACGTAACCGAAAAAAATGGTGAACGTGGCCATACCACTAAACCGTCGAGCAAAGTGCCTCGGACTTACACAATAACAGCGAGTTTGAGATGTCAGCCTAAAGTAGTTACGAAGCGCAAACCACACAAAGCGGAAAATCTATGCGACCTGGTAAGGCTTGCTCATGGAACCACAAAAATGGCCGCAGCAAAGCTGTACGCTATCGGGTGCGTCCCAAGGTTACGAATGGGGGAAAGCGAAAAAATAGCAGTCTCGGACAATCAGCGACAACGGCTCGGAGTGGGAATTTTTGGGCTGGTCACCTCGTTTTCCATTAGCTACCAAAACATCATGTACAGCGCTGTGTCTAAACCAAGGTAACCGGCTATAAATTCATTCACACTTCTGTAACCACAGGTGAGTAACTAACGAAGGGCGGAGGAAATAGCTTGTTGGCCACCGGCTTTTTTGTGGACTGCTACTGAACACTAAGAAGGCGTAGGAACCACCTGGTCATCAAGGATCTCCTTATTTCGCTGATGGTAAACATTCCGGGAAACGTTGTATGACCTCTATGTTTCCATATTCGGACTGCTCGGGAGTTCTGATTTGTCTGTTGTTAATCGAAAGTCAAACTAACGGCTCGAGGTGGATAACAGAGATCCCCTTCTACAGCTTCGTGGTGCTCACGGTCCATTCCTCTGGAGTACATATTTTGGTTAATCCTGGAACTAGCAGTTTGTTTCGAGACCTCCTTCGTCGCCTGGACCATCGTGGACGCAGATGATCGTATCACCATTAGTTATGTTGGAGAGACTGTATAACGGAAAGCAAATCAATTTGTAGCACTTATTTCCCTGCTGAGCACACATTTGCACGTCCTAAATTTGCGTACCGCTTTTGTGGCATCCAACAGCATCGTCGGAAACGGCTTGACGTAGCCAAACTTGTCGCTCCACATATTCTCATTGATTTTCAGAATTCATTAGACTCTAATTTGAAGAGCACTGGATACACAGCCGGATTGCCGTGCATAAGTCTGCCAGCATCATCTGCGGTTCCGCTAAGCACATCGTCAACCGATGGATTTCCGCTCGATTTGTTCAACTGATGCAAGACCGCTGGACAATTTCTGCAGGTGTTGACTATGACTCATTGCGCAGTGCTACCAACACCGAGATCAAACAGCTCCACAGGTAAGATCACAAAGCCTGGTCATTTAGATGGAACAAGCTGCACCCACAGAGGACCACTGCAGTCACTTCTTTCGCATGCGATCAACCGATGGTAAGAAGCCAACTGTAAGCGAATTAGTATGTAAAATCAGAGGTGAACCAATTCAGCCACCAACGCCGGGTTGTATGTTGGGCACTTCGAAAAGTAGTTTAACTGGCTACTGTTACCCTCAAGTTGTCATTTTTGTATCCATCGTGTTCCCTGGTTGTTAACACCCCTCAGCTATTTGAGACAGAGATTGCAAAGGAAGTTAGTCTTCTGAAACTTCATGAATCTCCCGGTTCCTACCGGCTAAGTGACCTCAGGGTCTCTGCAATCGTTCAAAGGTGGAGGCCCGTCTCTATCTTCCGAAATAACTAAACTTTTTAGAGAAATTAGGACTAGAGAAGTCATCCCATCGATCGCGGATTAGCGGACATCGTGCTCATCTTCAATAGTGGTGACCAAAGGGATTGTGTAAACTACCGAGGGATTAGCCTAATATGTGTCGTGTCCAAAATGCTCGCTTCCCAGCTTTTATAGAGGCGCAGTCGTGCATAGGAACAGCATAGAGCAGATCGAGTTTCTCTCAGGTCGGGGTTGCATTGATAATATCATTACGATCTTTTTGTGCACATAGGTCTGGGTTATAGAGACGAATTGCGATCGCCTCTGTTGCCGACAGCAGGTGACATCTGATTGCCCGTGTGTAACGTCCGGGAACACAGTAGATCGGTGTGAATGCATCATGCGAATTGATTTGATGGTCGGAGTGCGACAATATTGCACTCGTTACGTTTTTCGTCGCACACGGTTACAGCGAAGCTGGGCCATGCTCTCGAGCCCTAACGGACAGTCGCCAGATCGTTTTCCCAATATACCTTGCTTAACACGAGCAAGAGAGTGTATGCACAGAAGGAGGTCTGCGACCGAAGTACCCTGTCTTTAAGTTGTTGGCGCATAATCGGTGTTGATGCGAAGCTTGCGCGTAGATAAGCGTAAAAATACGTTCTCTCTGTTGCTAGGGAAAGTCTTCGGGTGGTCCGTTCTACTATCGCGTCACCCTTAAATGGCAACGATAAGTAGATCATCCGCTTCTCCGCGAAAACGGGTTTGGGCTTTTGTACTCGTGGTTCCATGTGCCTCTGGATGAATTTTTCAGGGTACCCATTGCGTTCGAGTACGCTTGGCATAAACATCGGCTCATCTGAAAGCGCATCATCTGCCCGATGCTCGAATACCATCGGGCCTTCAGTCGGTTTACCGAGGTTTGCTTCACGGACATATGTTCTGCAGGTGACGCGATTGAGTGCGCTGCTTTCTGAAGTTGCATACTGAGAAGGGGAGTTCCTGAGAAGTACATCAGCATCCTCCAAGCAAGTTACACTTCAATATCGGGCTACATGGGGGTATAAGGTGGCCACCAAGCTGCTTCCCGATTTATGAGGTGCGTCGTACGAAGACCGGTAAGAGACCAGGGCTTTAAACCATATCTTATCGGTGATTGTGGGTTGGTTGACAACCTAGGTCCAAGGTGTAAAAGCCCTGACATTGCAGTCGGCCATAGTTGGAGGTTCCAGACTCCTAGGTTGGGGACTCAAAGACAGTGAGCACACTTGGTTAGAAACGCAGGCGGGAGAGCCTATGGTGTGCTGAGGCTGGTGGTGGCTAGATCCTGACAGATGGTCTACCCACTGCTGCTACTACTGCGCCATAGTCTCATGTCCTGGGCGCCTCCACGTGGTGACCGCTGGGTGGGAGTTAGGTTTCGCCCTTCTCCCTGTTAAGATCCAGGATACCAATCCGCATGAGTCAGCTAACTGACCATGTGCTGGACCTGCTGCCTTTCGGGTGTTCATTTAATCGAAGGTTTTGGCTGAGGACCCGAGTCGTTCTCCTGTCAGGTGTGGGCGCCCTGGCAGTATCCTAGTCCATCCTCTCCGGAGGTTAGGAAGTGGTCGATGGCCCACTTCCCGTAAAACCTAGCCATGGGAGACAACAGGTTACGGGTTATATTCTCAATGCTCGATTGGCGTAGAGCACGAGTGCCACGCATTGTCTCTGACGGTGGGAGGACACCTCCGGGTGTTCAATGGTTTGCTACTGACCGCCTCAAGTCAGGCAGCCCCTGGTCAAATTGGTGCAAACCCGCCAAAAACCCACCTGCGTCTGGCCGTGGTCACAGGTGCGTATCCAATTACGGTCGCAAAACATATGATAACTGTTCCAGAACCTCAAAGGCTGCGTGTGACGGCCGTCAAGCAGATCCCAATCTGTCTCTGCAATCACATTCCCGAGCTGGATCTGCTCTCCACTGCCTTGTGGGTCAGGCTATTGAGCCAAAGGCTCCGGGCGGAGTCCCTCAAGCAAACCTCCAAACCACCCACTGCCATGTGGGTCAGGCTATTGAGCCAAAGGCTCCGGGCGGAGTCCCTCAAGCAAACCTCCAAACCACCCACTGCCTTGTGGGTCAGGCTATTGAGCCAAAGGCTCCGGGTGGAGTCCCTCAAGCAAACCTCCGAAGGACAACGACCACCTCGCGTGCGATTGCCCACCAATGCAACCGTATGCCTGCGCGCAAAGCACTCAGCATCGGGTGCTGGAACGTGCGCACACTACTACACCGGAACTCCAGCGAGCGCCCGGAGCGACGCACTGCACTGGTCGCAATGGAGCTGGCGCGCTACCACATCGATATTGCGGCGCTCAGTGAAACTCGGCTCGCTGAGCAAGGTAAGTTACATGAAGCAGGTGCTGGCTACACATTCTACTGGGTG